CACCATGTTCGTGTTTGTACGCAAACACTGCGACGAAATGTTCGGATGAATGAGTCCACACATCGAACATAAGGCCAAAACCATCTGGCAGCTCCAACAGCAGCTTCCACGGAATGGGTGACGCCTTCTAGTGTGCGTATCGTTTCCACCGAGATTGGCTCTAAGAAAGTTTTTCTAGTCAAAGCAGTATGATATTAGTACCCATAATTATCAAAAATAGTAATAGTAGTCCATACCGGCGAACGTGAGTATTCTCACAGAACATGAGAGGTAGAATATCCTTCACGATCCACTCGAGCCAGCTAAACCGATTCATGGCGATGCGACGGCATAGTGCACCACAGAACCTGTCTGCTCAGTTGTAGCAGCCAGCATCCCTTCTTGGAAGGCTGAATGCTCGATGCGCACATGCTGCATGAGGTTGGTGAAGCCATTTCGCTTCGACTACTTGCTCACTCTGACGCAGCGGCACCGGAAGTACTCAGGCACAGTCTCATCATACTGATCTCGGCATGGTGTAAAGAAGAGGGTCGCAATCTGAGCGTTAGAAAAGGTTGCACGGGCACGAGGTGTGGATAACATGGCGTTAGGCGAGGAAATACCAGAAACATCAGCATTTTTTTGGTCAGCACCTCATAATCAGCAGGAGCACCGGTGCAAAACATGAACCGTATTCTTTCCATCGACTCCCGCTGCTTTTCAGCCACACATATATATCTACCGTATGAGACAAAATAATGTATAATGTGTTGTGTAGACGACTGTAAAAAGCTCTGTCCCAAATTCTATTCTCACAACAAGACCGTCCAAGCACCAGCTACTCGCGCGGTTCCAGAAGGCCTCAAGAGGACGTCCGAGACCGCAGAGCGAGCATCAACACGCCCGGAGGTGGCAGTTGCTTAAGACCTAGTCCACGCTCTTCTAGGCTACGATAGTGTGCGGTGTTCTGGTAATAAAATGGTGGATTTTATCAACGAGTTGTGCGATCTTGTGAAATGTGGAGATTATGGAAACAACAGAGTTATGATTTCGCGCATTGTAGCCAAGATTCCTGCTTCCGCTGACCGCTACGTTGACGGTGGGTTTTCATGGAGCGATGCGGTTAGCAACGAGGCTCCTGCGTTAGTCTTTCGAGGAGCCTGTAACAATGTGGCACGCTTTCGCAAACAAGAACGACTTCCCGAAGCGCCAACCCACTTTAATGACTTACTGCGCGTGATATATATGCGTGCCTATGTTCAGCGTCGTGTTGAGAGCCTATGGGAAAAGAAGATTCCAACCCCTCGCGATCAGCTCATTGTCAATCTTCCTGGATACTACTTTAAGCTGGTATTTCCTGCCGATGAGACCTACGTGTATCCTGTGAAGTCATGGCTTCAAAGCGGGAATCGAATCTCGCCGATTCACGCAGACCATGGTCGTGTAGTGTCGTTTATCCCTCCAAGCCTTACGCACACCTTCAAGATTTGGGTGTTCTTCAGAACGCCTAAGTGTGCAGAATTGTTTAGTTTTAAAAACTGGTCAGGTTGAAACGCTGAAGAAATGCATTGTAGATGCGCTTGGGCTTCAGTCCTTGGGCTGCCCAGTCCTTCACCACCTCCTTCATTGGTGGGGTCAGCACCAGCTTGCGTGGCGAGCGTACTGGAGTGGCATGGGTATATGCCTCCTCGACCGTCACTAAGCCTTGCTCTTGACAGGACATGACCCGATCTCGCCACGGACACTCTCGTGCCGACGTTCCGTCAGCGCAAGCCTTGCACGCGCAAAACAGGCGCTGAATTATCATGGGATGCGGTGCAGGGGCCATGCATACGGAGCTCGGGGCCAGCTCACTCTTCGCCACTTTAAACTGCTTGAAACCATCCAGAAGGCTCGCTGCCTGGACGCATGACATTGCTGAGGCGAGAAGCTGCCAGGGGTGTCGAATGGTCATTTCAAAAGGAAGGAGCTGGAAGAATGAGCTTAATGCGGCTAGCTGGAAAATGAGCTAGCCTTAATCACCCCTCGCCGGGGAACTGCGCTCGTTGGACGATATTTCTGTGACGATCAGGCTGGGCAATATTAGCGATTAAATTATGGTTGGTGCAGGACGTACTATTGCGGTGGTCAGTCTTAAAAATTGGTGATGCTCGTGATATTACTGTGCTAGCCGTGCTTTAGCGGTACCGATAGTATAGCTTTGGGGTTTTTATTGGTGTAAACAGTACGTCCTCGCGTTAGGCGTGTTTTTTAGCTCGTAGCAAACAAAGAATCGTGAGACAATGGCGCCGTTCAGACAACAGCGGGAACCTGAAATCTGATTACTAATAGTGACACTTTGCCAGATTGCAGGAACATGCTGTTCAGCATTCGCACTTCCCGACCTGTAACCGGAAGTTAAGGCACAAAAAACACCAGGAGGAACCTCGCTTCAATGACATTTTTCCAGGTGCCTATGGAGCACACTGGAAATCTGGTATCTCTATAACCTGATAGCCCCCGCTCCACCACACAGCTCACAAATTTTATCCATTCGAGATAGAAACGAATTCCGAGTCGCCCCCTTCTCCTAGTGAGGAACTAGTGTCGTCAACGAACCCCTCAGAGCTGGACTTACGCAAATCTGTTGCAGCGGAGAGCGCAGAGCCACAGGCGAGGCCTCCCGACCCATATCTCCCTGCCGCCGCCCCGTTCACGAAGCGTAAATGGACAGAGGACGACACGCTTGCCCTTGCGTGTGCATGGCGAGCTGTGTACGTTGCAGGGATCCCTAATGACGAGGACGAACGCGCGTATCTTGCGAGAGTACACGGCCCTTTGTCCGAGTTCAACTAGGTAAACAAAAGCTGTTGAAGACAAGCTACAATCCCTACGCGAGATGTTTCGCTTTATTCGAGACGCCAACGCGAGCCGAATTGCCGGTAGCACGGGCAAGGCTGATTGGTTTGAGTTATCAAAGCAAGAGAGAAGAGGACTTCGAAATACACGACTGTCGCCGACACGTTCTGGCCATTTGCAGTATAGATCACAAAATCTTCCCCTCCAGTCGACTACAGCTTGTAGTATCAAACTGTACCAACATTTTATCTGTTAAAGTACATGGCTCCATCCTCTTTCGGTTTGGCTATAGGTATATGACACCCGTCGATACAGCCAATAATTTAGGGAATTCCACATGCCTCAGCGAATTGAGAAGCACATAAGCGAAATGGGGGGAGCGTTATCAGATGCCGTAACGTGCGGCACGCCACCAGAGCCACCTCCCTCACGATTTCCGACACGGTTGAGGGGCCTATAGCAAAGCGGTCAGCCGTGGCATGAACGGTTGACGCTTGAGCGCACACATACAGGAACACTGCGAGCCGCTTCGGCGGTAAAACCACATCTGGACCGGCTTTCATTGGAGTTAGACGAGGACAGATGACCTGAGCAAGTGCGGCAAAACTTGTGCTGTCCATGCGAAAGATGTCCTTCATGCTGCAATCAAAGTAGATTCTTGAAGAGAATATCATCTTGACCCAATGAGAGCTATGCATTTTCAATCCACTCTCGTTCCTGCGGCAGCAGCAGTAGCACCACAAGAGCATCCATCTCAATCTTCACCCACTGTTGTATCCATGCTGGCTTTATCAGCGAAGGCGCAGTGAGGACTGTCATTCTTTCCGTCACAAGAGCCGTTAATAGGTGCGTGGTCATCTCAGACATCGTCTCCTTCACGGGTGTCTGCACTAGCATTCAGCCTAGCACTACTAGTCCGCAGCCAGAGCTCTCCCGCGTGCTGCGATATTTGTGTCTTGGGGCTGCAGCTGATTCTGGCTTGTAAGGCATTAACTCCCCAGACTCTATGTGAAGAGTGTTTGTCACAATGGAACGATTTTACCAGTGACTTTTGTCTGAACACTAGTGCAAAATACGACACGAAGACATTTTCCTCAGGTTTCCGATTTCAGATTTGGGCCAATGTGTCCGAGAGACGGAAGAATAGATGGGGTTGGCTCGTCGTTTCCGCATACTAATTTAAGTAGTATTGCACATGCTCATAAATTATGATTATAAAAAAGCACCTTGGTGTCATAATTTAAGATGTAATATTTTCATGTCTAATAAATAATGTAATACATAGTATTTATTGCCATAATTGAAGGTGCCATTTCTTTTCGGCGGCTCTGATTGCAATGTATTTTACCGGGCTTGAGAAATAACATATTTTATTTTTCAACCTCTGTAATACTTTAAGTATACTTTTAAGTAGCACATTTTTACTGATGTTGCTGCTCCAATCACAGCGCACAAGGGGGAGCATGCCGTATTGTCATTCCAACCGATGCGATGTAGTGCGGTGCGTCCGGTTGAGAATGGGCTTTGTTTTTGCAGCGATCTGACGTAAATCATTTACGTTTGCGCCGTCGCTGCGAGTGGTGACAACACTCATCCGAAGCACAATTTTTTTTTCGATGAACCAACCACGAATATTAGCTTAACGTTCAGAAAGTTACGAATGTTGATCTTAATATCATGAACATTCGTATTCTTTTGTTGCCAACCCCGGTTCATTCAAATGAATTGTTGAAACTGTAGAAAATGCATCACTCGGATGGCGGTTGGCAGTGGCAACCGCACTTGTAACTAGCCTGTGTGATTATTAATAGCTCCGGGATGCGCTCGCTGTGGCTGCGGTCATGTCATGACTCATGACTCATGAGCGAGTTCCAATTCCTCCCTCGTCATCATTGGACATGCGCTGAACTTGCCCGAGAGTGCGTTCGTAAACCTTCTGTCTCGTGCCACATTAAAATTTACACCGTGTATTTACCAGGTTTAGCGCATCGCATGTGCGTTTTATTCCGTCAGCCACCAAGCAAAACCATGGGTCGAGGTTTGCGCTTATTTCAATAAAATTAAACTGTGTGCAAATTGGCAGAGGAAATCTGCTTCAACGATTGACCTGTTAAAACAAATTGCCATAGAAAAACGAGATTTTTGTTCTAACGCCCCCAACCTCATTCCCGAATTTGCGAAGAGCGTCTCAGATCACACAACCAACAGGTTGTCTGTCGTCCCTCGTCCTCTTCCTCGCTCTACCTGCCCACGCCTCTGTCCTCGATTCGCCTCCGTCTGCATATCCGCTGTCTCCTTTCGCTCGTGTTTCCAGCGTTCAAGAGACCGCCGTCCTTCCCCAACAGTCCGTTCAGCAGCTCGAGGGATGCTGAAGGACTGCCCGCAGCACCAGTGGATCAACCAGCGCTCGCACGAAACCCGCACGGCCTTTTCGCAATCGGAATAAGCCCCCAGCCCCCATTTTGAGTACAATTCCCCTTCATTCCGGTGCCGGCATGGCCTCCCACGGCTTCGAGGCTCTCGCTAGCGAGAATCTCCGTCAAGTGCTGGATTTTCTGCCTATCCGAGAGCAATTCGCTCTGCTGAGCAGCAACAAGGAACTGCTGAGTCGAGAGCCTCTAGCTCCTGCTGTGGTGTCCTATTGCGGACAGTGCGATGCGTGTCTGGACAAGACGGAGCATCTTTGTGATCAGAAATTTAAGAACAAAACTAAGGACTTCTGGACGGCAATGCTCAAATATTCGACTCCCTCGGGGCTCACGCAGTTGAGACTGGCCAGCTGTGATAGCTTTGATGCTTCGGTACTGAAAAGTGCCGGTGCCAAGTCGGCACTAGCGCCGTTGAAAGTGCTGGAGCTCAACAGATGCACTACTATGGACGCTGAAGCTCTTGGACTCCTTGCCGACATGTGTGGCAATCTGAGAGAGCTCAGATTCCGAGACATGGCAGTTGATCGCACGGCATTGAGGAAGTTGCTAACGAACAATGCAACGTCGCTCCGAGTCGTGGATTTGTTGGGTTGCCACACAGTTAAAGGCGAAGATGTTCGTGATATTTCCCAGTGCACGCAGCTCCGAGACTTGAGTCTCTGGGGCTGCCACAATGTGGACAATGCGTCGATTGTTTACGTGGTGCAACACTGCAGTCAACTGGAGAGACTGAACCTGCGTTATGCTCACAAAGTGGATGACAAGGTTGTGGCAGCAATTGCTGTGCACTTACCGCAACTCAAGGACTTGAACCTCCGCTACTGCTACAAGATATCGGACAGAGGTGTCAAGACTCTGTGTGATTCTCTATCAGGGCTTCGTTCGCTGAACTTGTCGCAGTGTTCTCGTCTCACTGATGCTGCCATCATGCAGGTGGCTACGTCCATGACTCGCCTCAAGGAGCTTCGTCTCTGGGGCTGCACGAAGCTCACGTCAGACTCCGTCTTCTTCATCTCGGAGGGTCTACCCGAACTCACACTGCTGGATCTACGCAGTCGCGATAAGCTCGAGGCTGTTATTGGCGGGCCTACAGCACTCAAGTTCCTGATCCAGACTTATCGCAGCAAATTGGCGAGATGGGAACAAGCTCAAGGGGAGCAGACCGGCGTGTTCAAGCGCCACAATGTGGTTGCTGCAGCCGCGTGAAAGTCTTGACTCGTTATCGTCCCTCCATGACGGTGTCTGCGCAGCTCTCTCTTCTTTCCCATTCGCATTTTTCAAGCTTCGATGTTACAGATCTGTTGTCAGTATCTGTATTTTTTTTTCTTTTTGCTTTTCTTTTAAATTGACACTCGAGAGAAACGATAACGAAAACGAATGCAACAATTTAAAATCTAAAAATGTGATGCCCATATTGCTTTTAGCAGATCTCGTCTAACACCGCACGCAGATGTAAAGGTAGCGAGTGGCGCAGTACTAACAGCGTGTGTATATCGTCGGCATGCAGCGTACTGGAAGTAGCCGCCACCGAGTCACGCAGGAAGGTCGTGTTTTCTGCCTCCACCTTCTTCAAAAGTGTCTTGACCACCATACTGGTCGATAGCAAAGAAGTGTCTTCCTCGCTCTTGGTTTCTTCCTCGTTCTGTCGATGTTGGTGCTTCGCTGCCGACATGGACAACGCCATCGCCTTCGCCAACAGCATGGCTTCTTCGTCGTCGGAGCTTACGTCTTGGTCCACCTCTGAACTAGGTGCTGGCTCGTACGAGAGCTTCTTGTACAGCAACAGATAAACCGTGTCGGATACAGTATTGGACACAAGTCGGTTGATCTCCTTCCAGTTGGAACGCTCGACCTTTGTGTCGTTGAATTTGATCCACGGGGACAACGTCGAGTCTTCCAGATGCAGTTGCCGTGTACTCTCGTCACTCTCGCGACAGAAACTGAAGTAGTGGCCGGAGTTGGCTGTGAGACCAGAGTGCACAAGTACACCGTACAAGCCGTAGTGGCGCGACTGGTTCTGTTGTTTCTCGCGAGTTGAGTCGCTGCTCTTCGGGTCATACACAGCGAGTTCTTCTTCCTCCGTCAAAGACGGCAGTGTCAACAACGCCGGAAAACGAACGTCGTGTAAGCACTTGCACGCCTTTTGTTGAGTCCAATCGTAGTACATCCGCTTCAGCGTAATGATTAGATGCTCCGGCGGCTCAAAGATCACCGTATGCGTCCGTGACTCTGTCTTCTTCTGGCACACACTACAGGAGAGCGCATTGTCGCCTCCCAACGTGCGAGTAGCTACGAAACGCGACAACATGGACTCAATGTCATGTCTCCACACACGCTCAGAGAACACAAGCTGGCCAGCCTTCCATTCCGTGCTGTAGTCCTTCTTGAACGCCACATGCACGTACGAATCCTTGACGAGTTTCCACTTGCCGCCGATAACAGAAGTCGAGCCAGACGGCGCTGTACTGGTAGCCGCGCCACTTGATGGCGTAACGACGGATACAGTGGGTTTCGAAACGTTTCCAGACACACCTTCCGCTCCACTCCACCATCCATCCATCTCGGTGGCTGTCTCGTTGAGTGTCAACTCGAATGGATAACTAGACGGCAAGAAGTCGTTCATACTTGCGCCCACACCGTCAGCCAGTGGACTATCAACTCGCCACGCACCGACGATCGTACGGGTCTTCTTGTCCTCGGTCTGCTGATGCTTTGAAGTGTACAGAATTCCACTCATCGACCCAATGAGCTGTGCGTGTAGCACGATGCCGAAGTTTCCTTCCACTGTACGAACTTCTTCGAGTTCTTCGACGACCGAGAGACTGAAAAAGCGACCGAAAGCTAGCAACGGAGAGCTCGTAATCTCGAATTCACCGTTCAGCGGGTTGTCCAACGGCTTAACAATGTCTTTCGCCTCACATTTCGAGTAGCAAAGATGAATTGCCACGCCACTTGTACCTTGGTTCAGATTCGCGTCCATACCGAGAGGCGTGTGCTGGATCTTAGTGAACCCAGTGGGAAGAGTGTCTGGTTGAGCGCCTGTAGTCCACATCAACGCGAGATCCATCAAGCTCTTGGCAGCCGCGTTCTCAGTACTTCCAGCTCGTCGGTAGCAGATAAAAACAGGCACGCCTGTTGTCCCGTCATTCAAGTTAGCGGAGTGTCCGGCGGGTGTGGTTTGCAGACAAGTGTAATGCTCCGGAACAGCATCAATCTCGCCGTAGATGACACAAACGTCGGTGATGTAGTCGTCGGCGGGTGCTTCTTCCCTCTTTACTGCCAGATACAGCGTGTGAGGCGACGTAGTCTGCGCCAATAGGCTACCTGATCGACCCGAACACGTCTCTCGAACAACCTGTACGCCTTCAGGTACACGCTCGTCACCACGTAGCACCATAATACTCGAAATCGGCCATTTGATTTTCACTTTCCTTGATGACTGAACGCCCTGGATGGCAATAGGTTTCCCTCTACCATCACCAATGGTTCCATTAATCGTGTACAGCCTCGTAGGTTCTCCTTGCGACGACATATCGACAGCATCTGGTGCGCCACTAACTCCATTGGGTGCAGGTCGCAGTTCCACATCAAAGAGCTGTGCACTTGGTACTTTTGCGTTCTTCCAGTAACCCGACACACGATAAACCTTGGGGGCAGCGTTGATACTCGTACTTCCACTAGAAGAGTCTACAGGGACCACCGAATCCGCAGCTCCTGCTGTAATCGAGTCCGACCAGCTTGACACACGCGTTGCCACACATGACAATTCCCCCTTATCGTCCAGCGACCCCTTCAGAAGCAGCGCGTCTGTGATTGGTTCCGATACTGAGCGCATACGCACTGCCTTACGTCCACGATCTGTTTCTTCACTTCCCATCCAGTCACCCTTTATCTCGGCAGCATCTGACGAGCTTCCAGCGGGAGACAGGTCAATTACTTCGTAGTCGTTGTACTTGGGCACTTGACGAGGTGCACGGAAGACGTCAACAGCGAAAATAGGGTTGCCGTGACCACGACGGACCATAAGTTGAGGCGGTGTAAGCGACTCAGTAGGCTGAGCAACAGGAGCAGAAGAAAATGGGCTTCCAATGGACTGCCATCCCTGCTCTTCGAAAGTAGACACGTCGGTGCCTTCGACAAGCTTCAGATCCGTCAGACACGGTTCGTTCCCGCCTACTTTGAGCGCCAAATACTGCTTCACCGCGTCTTCGTGACTTACATTGAGCAAGTGGTCCACCATTCGGTACCCAGGGATCCCACTGTTAACGATTTTCAGATCCGTGATCGGCATATCGCAGCGATAGCATAGATAAACCTTGGATCCATCTCCCTGGTTAATGTCCACTTGGATTTGCTTGAAGCCATCAGGAACGGACTCGTTGCCATAGATTACTTGCAGATCAGTGATGGGGGAACCATTCGGCTCACGACGGAAGAACAAGTACACTTGTTTCTTCGCTCCTGCAGTAGCACCCCCGCCGACATTGAGATCAAGTTCCACACGCTCAAAACCCGGCATCGATGGCTTCGGATCGGTAGTTAGCGCCACCTTTACGACCAGTTCCGTGACTGGCATGACCCGTTCGCTGTCATCTTCCATCGCGGTATCACTAGTCGCTCGCTCTGGGCATCTCTTCACGCACAAATACACGTACGGAGCTCCGGTTCGATCCTTGTTCAAATCGGCATCAAGACGCTCGTATCTGTCAGGAGTTTTGATGTCCATGGACGATCCACTCACTGCGGTAATGCTGGTGATCGGTGTGTAACGAAGGTCGATCATGTTCAGTAGCAACTCCCAGAAATACTCGCGGTTCACCGACTTGTTGCCACACGTTTTACACGCCAGAATCGTCGCTTGATGGCCGCCAAAAATCGATGGAATGTCGTCTGTAGTGTCTTCATGTTGACTTAATTGCTGGCTGAGCGAGTCAATGAGGAAATGAGCAAAGTCCGACGTGTCCTGTTGTCGTCCATTCTTGAACTCGGTAGGTAGACAGCGCTGAAGCGCATGAGTAGCCAGATACGGACGCTGAGAAGCGGTCATTTGAGCGAACAAGTCTTGGATAGTTGCCACAACATTCCCACCGCTCGTTGTCCCGTTATCTGCAAACGGTGCGAAGTAGTTGCTGGCATCACATGACAAGATCAGTCGTCGAAAGTCTTGAGTCATGTACAGCGTTTGAAGGAAGCTGTTCTGGTAGCAGACGTTCGTGAGGTTCTGCTTCATATTAACCATGCCAGAGTAGTACGGCTGCAGCTCGTTCGGTTTCTTCACGGGGTCGACAGGTGCCAACCCACAATAATCCGACGCGTACGGTGACGCTAGACACTTCCAGTCGCCTGATCCATCGCCGCGATACCACTTCCCGTCAAAACGAGAGGCTGTCTTGTCCCAGTACAGCGTGCAGGCATTCGACTGTGACTGAGTGGCTTTCTTAAACCGTCCATCAAGCTTCCAGGCTCCGTCCTCTGTTAGACGAGCGAGTCCACTCAGCTTACCGTCTTTCTCCACGTAAGTTCCGCGCACGTACTCGCCTACAAAACTCTTGTCCAGCGTGAAATGCATCTTCCCTCCAGTCGTTTCCCACACCGAGTCGTTCATGCTTTGAATCTCCACCAAGTGGCTGAAAGCTGAAGCGGCTGTGCGTTTGTATTCGTCCAGATACTTGATGTTCTTCAGCTTTGAATCATGCAGGTTGACAGGCTCAGACGTGACAGGTTGGTCACTTCCGTCCATGTCCATACTCATCGGAGACGACGCAGGCGTAGCGTCACTCGTTGATGCAGGTAGAGTCATCACCACTTCGGACGATGTAACAGTAGCGGCAACTGGAACTTCTCGAGACGTCCCGCACATGTGGCACGTCGTATCTGCTGGTTGGTTTTCCATCGTGCACGCTCCGCAAGTCCAAGGACCAGTAGGCTGAATAGCCATGGGATGATCCTGTTTCACAGCATTCTCAGCGGCGTAGTAGAGTGTGGTGAGTCCATCGTCGGTCTTCGTCTCTTGGCTCGCTCCGACGACTTCGGGCTCTGCAGGTTTCGCTCGTGGGGTGTCACAAATGGAGCATTTCGTGGCCGTCGCGTTATTGAGCATCGTGCAAGCTTCACAGGACCAATCCACAGCAGGTTGTGGCTGTTCAACCAGCGCTAAAGCTGTGCTAGTGGACTCTGGTGCTGCAGATCCAGTGCCAGTGTGGATTTCAGGTGCGTTGTTACCACAAACATTGCATGTCTTGAGGTCGATGCTATTGATCACCGTGCACTTGTTGCAGCCCCATAGTGCTGCATTCACAGGTTGACTGAGCGACGGATACTCAGAGACTTGGACAGGAGCATTACAGTGACACAGTCCATTCCCTCGAACGTGGCAGGCACAGGCTGTCGTGGTCACGCCCAACACAACCAGTTCGTGGCCTTCATGGCAGATCACAGCACACGTCCGACAGATGCTATTGCCATGAACCAAACTACACGTCTGACAGCTGTACGCCTCCTGGGCAATAGCACTACCGTCAGTGCTCACTCGGGTGCACGTTATAGTCTCGCCCTCGCTGCTCTTTCCGCTATCTTCTCCTGATCCTTCTGGCTGTAGAGCAACATAAACGTTCCCGAGAACAGACTGTGACGCTTCCTTAGGTGGATTATCGGTGTACGATTCAAACGTCCACTTCAGTAGCTTAGTTGCAGTCTGCTGAGTGGCGAGATCTTTGCCTGCCGGGAAAATTAAACCAGTACGCACAGCATTACCAGACTCCATACGAAGCGCAAGTTCCAGATCTACAGCAACCTCGAACACCACGCCAACACCACCAATAGCAACGGATAGAACACGTCCAGGTAGTTCGTACTTGATCTGAATATCAGATGAAGCCGTAGAGGGCCCGCCAGCAACACGAAACACGATAGTGGGTTTCCTTGCTTCTTCGACCAAATGTACAGTCCCAGCTCGTACATCAAAACCCCCGGAGCCACAACATCCGAGCTTACTTTGATCAGCATTGCAGACCCGTCGAAGTGTCGTAGCGATGGATCCACGACATCGTCACTTGTCACATTTGATATTTTCGCTGCTTCTGACAACAAAGGGACAAGGTCCCAGAAAGAAGCTTCACACATCGCGAACACCACAGTTTTATGTGAAGATTGTGCTTCAGTCGTAACCGAAGGCGCAATAGACAGCGTGGATTGAAATCCACTCGCAATCGAGACAGTATTTTGACGCCACAATGCGCCCTCGCTGTCCACTTGTAGTCCACTTACTCCATCGTCAGACAGAGAAAACTTTCCACTGCCGAAGAACTTACTTCCAAGTGAGACAGCAAACGCGTTCTTCACCGGGATAATCTCTGCTGGGGTAGCGGGGACAAAGCTACTAATCGACGAGATTGCTGTGTCATGGATCGAGTCTGGAGCCTGGTATCCTTCAAAGACGCAAGCGTGGTTTTGCTGCTTCGATAGATCCATCAACAATCTCTCCGAATGACCAGCTAGCGGGTAGTATCCCACAAGGTGCCCTTCATGACCCGTTAAAGCGGTCGATATACTCCAGTTCTCATCCAGTTTCGACAGCAGCGTCGACCAAATGCGCAGATCTAGCATTTGTCCATAAAAACAGCCTGGACCTTTTCCTTTTTCGTTGGGATCGCAGCTTTCAAAGCTGCCACCAATAGTCAACAACGACGCACCCGGGGCAGACGGCCCTGCTTCATCCAATCGCTCCATTTCACCTGCTATCGAGCCATCAATTGATAGTATCACTTTGTCTTGACCAAATGACAGTGTCACGTGACAGAAAACGCCAAATTCTACAGGCTCACGAGAAGTCAAAGAATACCGCCCCCCTGCAATCTGCCACACTAAGTGTCCATCGCTAGCCAACGAAAGCTCAAAGTTGTGGCCATTTGCTAGTACAATCTGAGCCTCATTTCCAGACGGGGAAGACTCCGGACGAATCCAAACTTGTACAGTAAACTCTGTATGGTCCGAAGTCGACAGCACGGCTCTTTCCAGTACTAAAACACTCGCCGGTTGCCCTTGAGGAGAATACACATAACCCGGGAGATTGGTAGAGTCCATCATCGTATCATTCGCCGCGGCAAGTGACGTCGCGAGGTCAAAGCTCCTCTCAACAATCTGTTTACGCGCCAGCCACACTCCTTGCTGCTCTCCACGTGACCATTTCATGCGCATAAATGACAGATCCGAGCTAAACACCGCCGAAAACGGAGCAGGGTTGCTACCCTTGATGCTGTTAGGTACAGTCGGTACATTCACATCCGCTGGACGCTCTGTCCCACACGTCGTGCACTTGGTCGCGCTGCCTTCGTTGTTCATGGTGCACGCCCGACAGTCCCACGTAGGCGCTGAGATCGGAGCCATTGGCGCAATCGAACTAGCGGTTCCAGTCTCCTCATGCAGCTGTCTCCAATGTCCTTCCAGTTCCCACGTCGACTTTTCCATGGCCTCTGGATGAGCCATTAACACCTGCATCTCCGGCATCTGCTGGAATAAATACCCCGTCAATTCCAATTTCTGCTGCAGTTTCCCATCCACCATCGTCGCCTTAACTTCGTGAGCAAAGCAGTTATTCGTTGTCTTCAAGAGCACTGAACCTGCATTCTGAGGCCCCCCATTGCCATGTTGATCACTGACAAACTCGTCCACGACCCATTTTCCCTCAATAGAAGGCAGCATGGCGCCCAATTCATCCGCTGACAGCACCCACGCGCTGCTTCTCAGTAGTCTTTCGGCTTCAGCAGCAGTGGGGCGGTCCACATGGGACCCAAAACTCGCTCTCATCGCTCGTCGAAGCGTCATGGCTTCAGCTTCGTAGCCGCGATGACAATGCTCCAATGCAGCACACGCTACCAGCAGCGGACGCACCAATTCCTTGCTTTCTTCACTTTCTTCACTGAATAATTCGGCCAATTTGACAATTTTCGTCACATTTTTCTCGTACAGCTCGGCGGAATGCTGGAAACCCACGAGGACTTCGATGTAGAGCCGTAGAGCACGTTCTCGTGTGTCTTTGTGCAGGATTTTGGCGTAAATAGCGTCTAATAGTTGCGTCGATACGGCGTTGAGTGCATCCCAGCGCTTGGCCAACTTGAAGCCCTTTAACGTCATTTGAGCCAATCGCACGAGCCCTGCGCAGTGCAGCGATGGATGCACTAGCAGCACCCGGAGTAGGCTGAGTAGCTTATTGGCAGAAACGTTGGTGCTAGCGAGCAACAGAGCCAGATCTTCAACCAATGAGAGGGCGTCGTCCGGCGCGGAATCGCCGCATAGTGAATCCCAGTACTTCACTTGGTCCGTAGTGAGGCCCAAAGTCACGTCAACGCTCTGCACGCATGTATCTACGTCTTGGTCGCATGCGGAAGCTGCCGCAGCGGTGCTGACAGCCACGCACGCGCCCAGTAAAACGCGGAACTGCTCCTCCATCTGCAGAATGCGCCAATCTCCCCCTGATAGGATTTCTGAGAATTAGATTGGCCGAAAGTATTGTGACACTTGAAATAAGATGCAGACCTACGATTGGATGAAATCAGATGATTGCAAAAATGTTAGCGATGTAATCACTTTTGAGGAGGCACTGTTGCTGCCAGTCAAAACGTTGACACAGTGGATCCGTCGAAGGCATCGATCATGGGCGGAAAGAGTCGCGCTGCAATGCGTCGTGAGAAGAAAAGGAAGCAGAAAGGGGCCTCGTCTACGTCCTTAGATGATGTAGCCGCAGTTACGGCCTCTGGTAAGCCTCAGAAGCGCCAGCAGAAGACCATTTATGACAGTGACTCGGACTCGTCCGATGACACCAACCGTGCCGCTGCCATCCCGCTGCCATCGCTGGAGGATGGAGACAAGGTGCGCGACTTTGTAAAAGAACTAGAGACGCAGCACAAACCTACAGGAAAACGTGCACGGGCTGAAGCCGAGCAACACGCGGTGGATCAGCGCAAAAAGAGATTCCGCGAGGAGAAAGCCGAGAAGATCGTGTGGCGTAAGTTTGACAGAGAAAACCGGGCCTTCGAGAAGTTCTACGAGCGCTGTCTGGGACTGGATAAGGACGAGTTCGCCCGCTTTTTGGCCTGTTTAAAGGAGCCACTGCCTGTGCATCTACGGGTAAATGGCAACTACACGAGTCTGAGTGAGATCGTGACGGGATCGTTGGAACTGGACTTTGATCTGAGGGAAGTGACTGTACCCACACCGGTAGGAGGCGGTGAGATGCACGTGCAGTTTGGACCTGAAGCTTGGGCACCCGAGAAGAGACTGTGGAAGCTGTCGGTGGACAGCAAGATGTTCCGCAAGGTGGAAGGCCTCCGATCTCTAAGTACGTACGTGCGCGCGCAGGGCTCACTGGGTACGCTTCTTCGACAGGACCCGGCTGCGACTGTGCTCCCGGCATTCTTAGATGTTCAGCCTGGACAACGTGTGCTTGATCTATGCGGTGGCGGCGAACACCGTGCACCCATTGTGAAAGAATACCTATGTCCTGGCTCCCCTGCCAGTGCTGGTATTGAAACCAGCTCCAGTGCCAAGAATGTGCTGGTTGTGAATGAACGGGACGCCACGGTGGCGGCGTCTGCTGTGCGAAACTTGACACGAACGCTGCCGCTTGCTTGCGACCTCATTGTTAGTGCACATAAGCCGGAGGATTTCCCAGTTCCGGGAATTGCTGATGCTCTGTTTGACCGTGTGATTTGCTGTGCCCCGTGCTCTGGCGATGGATTGATTCGTAAACTTCCCGAGAAGTGGCGTACGTGGAGTCCGGAGCAGGCGCTGGTGCACCACCCCAGCCAACTTGGTCTAGCTGAACACGCAGTGAGTCTGCTACGCACTGGCGGTGCTCTTCTGTACAGTACGCGATCGCTGAACCCGATTGAGAACGAGGCTGTCGTAGCTGAGCTGCTTCGCCGCTCGAACGGCGCGTTGGAACTTGTAGAGACCGACGATATTCTGGAAGGTCTAGAGCGCTCGCACGGCCTAAGTCAGTGGGATGTATTAGACTTGGCGTCCTGGGATGACGCATCGGAGGACCAGAGACATCGTCTCCGTCCGTCTATGTGGCCACCTTCAAACGAAGAATGTGACGAGATGCACCTAGATCGCTGTGTCCGCCTGTTACCTCATCAGAACGATACACACGGTCTCTTCCTCGCGGTTATCCGTAAGACTCGTGAGGCTGACAATGCTGTCGTAGCTGTTGGACCTGCATTGCCCCAGTCCAAGACTAAGACGAAGTCAAATGTGTCGAAGAACAAGAAGCAGGCGAAGGCTGAAAAACCTTTTGGCAGCTTCACACCCATCGGCCAGGAACATCTGGCATCGATTCGATCCTTCTTCGCGCTTCGCAGCAGCTCAGCCTTCTTGGAGCGGGCAAATATGGCTCGCCAGAAGCGTGCAGTCCATGTTGTCACCCCTGCAGTAGCAGAGCTGGTAACGAACCAGCTTCGAGGACGGTTAAGTATCTATCACGCAGGCGTGTTCGCGCTACGACCAGGTACTGGAGTCGAGGCTGTTGCTGACGAGCTCACAGATGATGGTGCTAGAACATTGCTTCCCGAGATGAACAAGCGAGTATTAAATTTGCCGCAAGATGAGTTCACGTCGTTCTTGGAGTCGCGCGAGATGTGGCTGAAGAATGCCGGGGAGCACGCCCGTGAACAGCTTGCGCAGATGACTGAGGGTAGCCTTGCTGTAGCACTGGACGACATGGAACCTGCTCAAACGGGTGACCGAGACATCGTGCTGGTTGCTGTTAAGCGACACAACTCGTGCTCGATTGTGTCGTCTCCTGCGGCGATTGCACGGATCAAAGCGCTTCTAGAGGAACTCAACGATACAGGTGGCGATGAGGATGGCTACGACTCGTTTGAGTTTGAAGACGAATAGATGACGGTAAACAGCAATGAAATGATGAGATTCTCCTTGTTTAGGCTTTCTTACCTGGTATCAACGTGCTTCGAGATGTATTCCAGCACTGCATTGGCGTCCTCAGGGACCCCCACACCGTGTGATTGGAAGGGCATCTCCGGGTATTCCGGATTTACTCGAATGAGTTGCACTCCGTCGGTGTATGCGAGACGTTCGTTTGGCATGCGAATGACGCCAGGAGTGTTGAAACCCGCGCCAACTTCGAGAATCGCGAATTTCTTGCCGTCGTGTTTCACTCGGCCCAGCACTCCAGACAGCCACTTGTTGTACACGGCACGGCCTCCCTCTAATGCGCTCTGCAAGAACGAGTCGTCCACACGCAAGAGAAGAAACAATTTGCCACCACATCTAGGGCATTTAGGGATTCCAGCGGGGTCTTCGACTCTGTACGTCTTCGGGTTGAAGCTTTCGAGTGCCTTCTCCATGAATGGACGAGAGCTCCAGACACTGTCTTGTGCACAGGGCTTCAAACACTGGATCCGGCCGTAATCTCCCTGCATGATGTAGATGGATTTCGTGTCAAAACCTTCCTGTTCGAACATTCCGTCGGCGTTGCTGGTCTCGACGAAAGCAGAGCCGGGATTGCGGCTTTCAAACGAGTTGAAGATCTTCTTGACATAGTCGTAAGTGGGCGCCGTGCGGTGTCGTACCCAGTCGAACCGGGCAAAGCTGATCTGCTTGAACAAGTATCCACATGAGAGCATCGTCCCATTTCGTGTACCCGATGGAGCTGTACATCATACGAAAGCTGGGGAGAATCTTCCTGATGTCAGGGTGGAACTTCTTCATCACTGCTTCGGACGTGTAGTCGAGACCAGCGGCAGCCGAGAGTCCAGCACCGGCAGCTACAAGAAGGCAGTCGGCATCTTGCACTGCTCGAAGTGCACTCTGTATAGCGGAGGATACCGGTACAGGGGGTAGAGTGACGTTACCCGGACACTTGCTCTCGATAAAACTCTTGTACAGATCGTAGTCGCGTTTGAGGAACGTGTTGAAGATGATCTTCCATCCTCGCGTTTCCTCTTGATGCTGATTCAGCCACTCCAGCACACTGTTGACCGCTAGAGGCACAGCTACGTCGCTCGGGAATGCAAATAACCCAGTCGAAATACACGAGAACGCAATAGACACATGCTGTTCAGTGTCTCCAACTTTCTTTAGCAGCAAGTCCAGGGACTTAGTGTAGCACGACTGGAGCTGGTCGCACTCCGCTGCAGTTGGCTGTTCGCCATGACGTAGTTGCGGACCGACTGTGTGGATCACAAAGGAGGATGGCAGAGCAAAGCCCTGTGTGATCTGTGCGTTGCCACCAGGCTCCTCATGAGCCTTACGAGACATAATTTCATGACAAGCAGCACGTAAACGAGGCCCCGCCATACTGTGGATGACGTTGTCGATACATTTGTGAGATGGTTGGAAACAACCGAGAAGAGCGGAGTTGGCGGCGTTCACAATGGCAGTGGCTCTAAGCGTAGTGATGTCTCCTTTCCACAATGCAATCTGCTGGAAACCGTGTGCGTCTGGAGACGACGAGGGTATCACAGTTGGTAGTTTCAGAGCGTCCACGATGGTCTTGCGTTGTGTAAGCTCAAGGTTTAGCAGACTCTCCACTTGGGTGTAGAGCTCCTCCTCTTGCTTGGAGCCACAGTCGTCTGTAGGTGGGCGAGCGACAAGCAGGTGGTGCACGATATCTCGAATGCCAGAGCTGGACGCGTGGTGCAGGTGATGCAGTCCGTAACCCGACTCGGTGAGAAGTTTTGTGGCGACAGAGCGCAAAAGAGAGTTGTAGGATCCTGATGAGACTGATGGAGCCATTTCTGGTTGTATAAGACTTGTGCTGGGCAGAGCAAAATTAAGAATGAAGCTGAGACCGGGACAAGAACTTGGACGTCCATGTTGCTGTCTTGCTTACGGGTTTTTCTGTCGTAAATGCACTTTGCTTTGAGATCCATATGTAGCCCTTAGGACACATAAATACGTAAATGGAGAGATTGCGAAACATGGCTACATTTCAATTTCCAAAGTAAATTACTTCATAAAAATCGCACGATTTGTCGTGAAGCACAGTCTAAGCTTACCGGCAAACGGTAACGCGCTGGCCCATGTTGTTCGATCTATCGATGAGTATTTGACTCCGTTCCTGGGTCACAAAGTCTTCACGGCTGCTTGCGAGAACGACGCATCAAGATACACCCTTGCCTGCTTACTTCAGAGAATCACGCCAATTTGGAAGAAGGCGGCCGTGCAAGGTGGTCATCCAGACGTGCTTCGCTGGATGGGGGGGGCTACCAGAAGGCCGCGGTCCATGGATGGACGATTTCGACGAAGGATGCTAGTTCGCGGCGGAAAATTCGCGATGCTATCCAGTGTGCCTCTGAAAGTACTTGGCTGTGGTTTGAGGAAAACGTCTCTGACTTAGGAACTGCAAGTGGGGTTTCTTTCAAGAAAAAGGCGCCGCAGCGAAATGGAATCGATGACTTAGAAAAGAAGCACGAGTACGATATGTGAAGAACGTGGCTATTTGACGTGTCGCTCACATCTGATTTCACTTCAAGATGACAGGCAAGAACAAGATGATGACCGACGCGGCGCATATGCATTTGGGGTCGGTGCATGGAGAGGAAGAGTCCAGTGAGATTTATGCACCCGCACTCGTGCATCGGACCCACACTTTATTCCTATCAACGCTGCAAAGCTGTCGCTGATCGGATCGAGTGATGAGCAGCGCCAAGCTCTAGAAGAAGTCTAATTCAAAATTGACGAAGATTATCTTCTGGTCCTTTGGTTCAATATAAATCGGCAAGGTCAGGTTGTTGCTGCAACAGTTTGTGACGCGATAGCAACATTTGAAATGAGAAACAACGCACGTCGAGACAGCGGAGAAAGCTGGCACCAATGCGTTTTTCACTTCGGCCATTATCAAGATTCCCTATCATGCAAGACTGCAATCAAGCTATCATAGCTCACCATGAAGCATTTGCAGTCTCGCCGGATGCGGTCACTGCCGTTCAGGGCGCCACTATATGCAGTCGTTATCAACAAGATCGTTATTCGGCAAGATGATGCAGGAGCATTCAACTTTTTCTACTTGTAGCATTCATAGTAATTTAGCGTGCGGATGCGAGCTGGTGAAGGTTGTTGGCTTCTTAGGCAAGGTTCTCGAAAGGGTTAATCCTTCACACACCAGCGTAACCGAAACCGTACCCCCACCTCAAAAGATAACTTAATGGCTGTAAGCAAGCTTGGGTCCTTACTTTGTCCAAGTGTGAAATCGTAACCTTTGCTTGGAAAGTCATCGGTTCGCGTCCATTCATCAAATTGCAATGGCTGAGCCCGTCAAGGAGGAGCAGCAGCCAACGCCGTCTGCAATGGCCCCAGAGACTGCAACCTCCACTACACCGATCGTCACTGAAATACCAGCGCGTGAGCGTCGTGTAGGCGAAGCTCCCATCAAGAAAGCGTGCGTACAGCCCGCGAAAGTAACAGCTGTTTGCCATCGTCTAACCTCAATATGTATTACAGATTTTTAAAGCCCAAACCGGCCCCGAAGCCCGCTGCTATCGAGACTGACAATGCAAAAGAACCAGCAAAAGTAAAGGATGACCGTGACCGCGATGGTGGGAAGAAGAAACGCGGAACCTTTAAGAAGCGTCCGATCGATGCTGAACAAGACCCCGCGGACTTGTTGTGTCGCCCTGTGGCCTCCGGTGAGGGTTGCAAATTCGGTGACAGCTGCAAGTTCAGTCACGATATTGATGACTACATGAAGCGCAAGCCCAAGGATCTGGGCGAGCGTTGCCCTGTGTTTGACGCTGTGGGCTACTGCCGGTACGGCATGGCCTGTCGGTTTGCCAAATCCCACATTGAGAAGGTGGATGACATTTATCGTAACTTAAAGCGCGAAGGATACGTGGAGACTCCGGGTCACGACTTGGGCGATGAAGCTAACGATCTGACTCATGATCTGCGTCTGAAGCTGCGTAAGGACACGTACGACTTCCAATCGAAGCAGCAGATGCGGAAGGACAAGAAGAACAACAAACGTCAGCAACGGAATGGTAAAGAGAAGGATGCGAATGCTGAAGTAACACAGAACAGCGAGGAGTCGACTGTCGTGGAGTCATCAGAAGCGGCTAAAGCGAATTCTGTACCGGAGAAAGTTACGCCCGAGCCCGAATCCGAAGATGCCAAGATGGAGCCTGCTGCCGAGAGTCCTTTGCTACCCGAACGCAAGCCTGTTGACTTTAAGCGGAAGATTTACATCGCTCCGCTCACCACCGTGGGTAACCTGCCGTTCCGTCGGTTGATGAAGCAGACTGGTGCTGATATTACCTGCGGCGAGATGGCAATGGCCACCAACCTGCTCAAGGCCCAACAGTCAGAGTGGGCTCTGCTGCGACGTCACAAGAGCGAAGACGTTTTCGGTGTTCAGCTTGCGGGCTCATTCAGCGACCAGATGACTCGTGTGTGCGAGCTTCTAACGCGGGAGACAGACATTGATTTCGTCGACATCAACATGGGTTGTCCCATTGATATCGTGTGTCGTGCTGGCGCTGGATCCGCTCTAATGACACGACCGCCTCGGTTACTTGAAGTCGTCTCGGGTGCATTGACTGGCCTGGAGCTGGGCACGCGCATGCGTACTGGTGGTATCGTCAACACCCCCGGTCTTACCGTGAAACTTCGTACTGGTTGGAGTGAGAAGCAGCCGACAGCTCACAAGTTGATACCTAAGCTGCAGGCTGTACGCGCCTCACAGGCGTATGTAAACTCAGCGGTGGTTACTGCGGACTTTAAACTACGCGCTACACAGTCCATTGACGCCATTACGGTGCACGGTCGCTCCCGGTTACAGCGCTACACGAAGCACGCTGACTGGGACTACATTTTCCAGTGTAGTGATGCTCAAAAGGGTAGTATCGACGACAAGCCGCTATCAAATATCCCATTCGTAGGCGGTGGAGATGTTCTATCCTATGAAGAGTTCGATGAGCACCTGCAAAACGGCAAGCTGGACACGTGCATGTTGGCGCGTGGTGCTCTGATCAAGCCGTGGCTGCCTACAGAGATCAAGGAACGTCGCCATTGGGATATTTCGGCCTCGGAGCGCTTGGATTTGCTCAAGGATTTCGTTCGCTTCGGTCTGGAGCACTGGGGATCAGACCAGAAGGGAGTGAACCGTACGCGTCGCTATCTGCTCGAGTGGCAGTCGTTCCTGTGTCGCTACATTCCTGTGGGCGTGCTGGAGACGCTCCCTCAACGTATTAACGACCGCCCGTCGCCGTATTACGGACGCAGCGACCTGGAGACGTTGATGGCCAGTGATCAAGCTGTGGACTGGGTCAAGATTTCCGAGATGCTGCTTGGGCCCGTACCCGATGGTTTCCAGTTTGTTCCTAAGCACCGAGCTAATGCGTACCAGACTGCATAAGATGATGAGATGGTGCTGTCAGATGACAGAAACTCGATGGGCAAAAAGATAAATAGATCACGTGGCAATTGAAGACGCTTACATGTAGCGGCAACTCTACTGAAGTGCGACGATATAGGAGAACGTTCTGTTATTGGTTGCCCCCGTCGCAATTTGACTGGTCGCCATTAAAATAAGTTAAATCTTAAGCGTTACCGCATCAAAGAGGGACTTGAATCCTCTTGATTGATTCAAGAAGATTCGCATTCCGGTTGGCAATGCTGCTTTCGCCTCTACTCTAGTTCTGCTGCTGTTGAAACTTCTACGATCGGCTCTTGTGCAGAGACTCTACTGTAGAAGTTTCAACAGCAGCAGAACAACGCCAGACTAGGGTCCAAACATAGAGGACTGAGAGCTTCAACTGGTCAGCATTGGCAATCAACCTACCCTCTCTGTAAGGAACAAGTGGTACTGTATAGCGAATCCTTTACAAATTCCAAGTCTAACTGCTTGACTGCGAAGAGACAGCATGCTGGCCCCCTCTCACGCCGCCCAGCTCAGCGGCACTACCTTATCAGCAGCCGAAGACCCCACTCACTTTCCCCCGCCCGGATGCTCGAGAGCAAGTCGGACCCCCTGGCCAGCGTGGAGCCCACGATACACAGCATGGATAGCAGCAGGTCCAGTCTCACGCGCTTATCGAGCGGTGTGCTGCCCCCGCCGCGTCTGAACGTCGGCGTCTTCTCCAAACGCAAAGGCGTCCGTTACCATCGTGACGGACAAGTGCGGAGCTGTCGCTTCTGCGAGATCCTGCGTACACGGGCCGAGACCCAGGGGTTAATGGTAACTCCAAAATCGGTGAAGTTAATATTGTGAAAATATCACCTGTAGACCAGTTAATATAAAAAATATCACCTAATATTTTCTTTTGAGACAATATGATATTATTAAATATCAACTTAATATTAGTTAATACGATATTATATTTTTCAATGATTGCGTAATCGGGCTACATTAACTAATCAGATGTCGTTAACGCTCGACTAGCTGAAGTATTACTAATCAACCGTGAGTACCGGGACAATTGTGAGTGACGGCAAGGTTGGCGTTGTGTGTTGGCACTGCTGAGCGCATTAATCTAGCGCCACAGGCAGCAGGTTTATTAGACGCACGATGTCGACGAGGAGATCGGAAGAGAACAAGAACAAATGTCTTGATTTCGCTCTATCAACGTTAAACAGCTGCAAGCGTTTGCAGTTTTCCATCTCGATCGCCTTTGTCTGTGTCACAGTGAAATACTAGAGCAAATACTCGTCAGTCTTAAAGCCTACTGCTTTTCTAGAACCTGATCGAAAAAGTTATTTGGCTCCGCTCGGTTCACAGAGGTAAGCTGGCAAGAAACGTACTTAAGTGGGAAAATATCATAAAATATCATGTAGTATCTAATATTTTTCAGTTCTCCGAGCTAATATAAAAATATTATGTTAGCTTTTGCAAAAATGAGTTACTATTAATATTTAATATCGAAAATAGTACTATTACTATCAAAAATATCATATGATATTTGGTTACCATTAGCCCCTGCCGAGACCTTCCTATATGAGGACGAGCATGTGGTCGTCTTTCGTCCATTGCGCCCCATCGTGCCTAGCCACGTGCTCATCGTTCCGCGCGCTCATATCCGGAATGTCAATCGTCTGGCCGCCAGACATCGCGCACTGCTCGCGCGAATGCATCACGTGGCCGAGTCCGTCATGACCCAACGACCGGAGAGAGAGTGTGTGGAGCTACAGCCAGTGGGCTTCAAGGCCCATGGAGATGAGAGCCCGGTGCGCTACTCGTTCCATGTACCACCATTCAATAGCATCGACCACGTGCACATGCACGCGTTCCACGACGACCCACGCAGTCTTGGTTACTACGGCCGCCTCAAATACCGCACTGAGTCGTGGTGGTGTCGCTCGTACGACCAGGTGATGGCCAGGTTAACAGAATTAGCCGACGTCCAGCAAGATGAAGCTGACGAGATTGAGGAGTCGTCCAGCTCTTCGGGCCTTGTATCTGAGGGGCGATTGACAAGGTAAAAAAAAGAATCTAAAAGACACCTATTTACTTCTGTAAACCCAAACTTGTAGCTCTTCTACTTTTTTAGTCGCTGCTGCCATATTCTAGTCGCACATTTGAAGAAGTGCTGCGGCGAGGAGTGGCAGGTTGCCATCCACACAAAATGGCTTCAATGTCTTGTAGACTGCGTCGACTAGTCTCGGGAATGTACCAATAGCTCAAGACAACGCCGGCGATGTTACACACCATGACGATACCGACGCAAAGACAAGATACAGAAACTGGTGTCGGCATGTGCTCGCGCAACGCTGTAAGTGCGTGCGCAAGGCCGATATTTACAATCGCCTCGCAGATCACCACGAGGCTTACAGCGCCCATACGCTGCTTCACGGCGAAAAGTTCACTGACCATGATCACAGGCACAACACCCAGGCCCAGCTGATGCCCGGCATTGATCAATAACATAGCAGCCCAACCAGAATCACTCAATGCCACGCCGCTGTCTTCTTCCCAATGGACATTTCTGTAAATTGAGACCAGCAGAAAAGCACAAGCCAATGCCACCAAGTAGCAGCCACACTGTAGTGTGGCAGGTCTTCCTCTGGTATCCACGAAGTAGAAGCATGCGACGATGCCCGTCGCAGCAGCCACGGCAACAGTCATAGTCATCGCTATCAGTCCACCTTCAGCGCCTTCAACTGCAACTCCGAAGATCGAAAGGACGAACGAGACGTTGGCGTGTCTTCCCCCAACACCTCGACTGCTATCTTTAGCGAGTCTGGACGTGATTGCTGGTTCAAGGAGGAATGCACTGATAGCACGTAAAGTATAGAGCGTAGCGCACAGGAGTACAGGACGGAAGAATGCACCGTGGTGACCTCGATCGGTCGCTGCCAGTACCTTAGCATGGATAATAGAGTTGGTCTCGTCTTCGGCGATGCGATCGTCGCGGTTAAACAGTTTGTACAACACTTCGAATGCAGCTTCCCGGTCGTCGTGGCGAGCGATGAGCCACGTAGGCGAATCCGGGAGTTTTTGCGCGAACAGCAGCAGCAGCAGCGCAGGAGCGACGCCGGACAATGCCAACACCTTCCACTCACTGAGGTTGAAGCCAATATACTGTCGACTCAAGAACATGAACAGCGCTCCAAGCGCCAAGTAGAGGATCCCTCCCACTGCCGAAAGGAATATCTGCGCACATATCACTCGTCCACGAGTGTGCGCAGCGCTCACCTCCGCCAGATACACCGGAACGACCACGTAGATGATTCCAGCCGCTGTTCCAAGCAAGTACCTTCCGATTAGTACTGTGAGCTCTCCATATGCAACTCCAACCAGCACCCAGCCCACAATAAACGGGATGGCAGCCAGTTCCAACGTGCCAGCTCGTCCCAGGCGATCTCCACAATAGCCAGCGCCTGCTGCTCCGAGCACAATGCCCAGATACAAACAGGAGCGGAAGAAGAACTCGGCGTGCTCGTGATTGGCTCGAAATACGTCCACCTGCATGTTATAGAGACGTCCAGGGGCAATAGGGAACATGGCCAGCCACGCGCATGCCACACCTGCTGCTCCCATGGCTGCTACATGCAGCGCGAAGAAGGAGTTCCGCTGACGCGCTAGTCGCTTCTGGCGATACTTAGGCCTGCAATACAGTTACAGGATACGTCAGTGGGAAGACGGTAAATGACGCTGAAGCGGTGGACAGACCTGGAGTTGATGGGGGTGCTCTCATCGCTGTGTTCAGACGAGTCTGAGAGCTCCACCGGCGCCGAGATGTACTGGTGAGGCACGAAGGCGAAGTCGCTGCGAGGAGGGTCTCGCAGACATTCCACGATGTAGCGCCAGCTGCGTGGACGGCGACGAGCGACCATGGCGAAGTGATCTCTTTCAACTGGGGTACTGCGTACGGTTATTATAGTGGTTTGACTTGGAATCAGTATGCAATGAAGATACATGGGACACATGTCGTCTTTACGGGACTAAAAACCGTAAGTGGTTGAAGTTGATCTACCTTAACTACGAGGACTGCGAAGTAGAAGTAGACGGCTTCGCCACGTCGCTGGGGTATTTCCGCGTCAATTCACTGCCCAGATGTTTCTTCCAGCGAAACACGTTCAAGCACGAGTACATGAACGACTTGACGCGGACCTTGGCTGTCTCCTTGCGCGTCTTGGGGAACGGCGTCGTGTCGAGACAGACAACACCAGGTAGCGAGAACATATCGCTGTATCCCATGCCAAAGACGATGGCGCCAGGACCCCACTCCTTCACGTAGTTCGAGAGTTGGGTCGAGATCAGCCGCTTGCTTACAATGTGAGCGCCGTAGTAGTTCTTGGCGTCGATCCACCGGATGGGCACTCCGTTGATGACCACAGGGTCCAGCAGCAAAATATCCGGCGAGATGACACGACGGCCGTGGCTCTCAATCTGGTCCGTGCACAGCTCCGTTTGGGTTCTGCATTTACATCAAATAATTAGTTCTTCGACACTCAACAAGTCCGAAATCTGGTACTTCATAACGTACTTCAAACGAATACCCTTGGCCCTGATGAAGTGCTCAATTGCACGCTCCAACGAGTCGGCATTGTACTTGGGGGCACCGATGAGCGGATCACTCTTGTGAACGCTGTCGTACTCGATAGCCTTGCGTAGTTCATGTTGATCACGCTTTGAAAGCTTCTCAGCAGGTTTGGCCAAAGCGTTCTGTGAAAGATGAAGCAACACAAGTCAGTAAACTACAACAGAATCTAACTACGCAATAGAATGCCACCAACCTTGATCTGAACCTGACTTTTGCCCTTAGCACGAAGGATAACTCGCATGAGCGACACGGGAGGGTAGTTGTGTACCGTCGACAACTCGATTAAGCTGCGACCGCTGTCATACTCCTTGCAGATCGTGTCCCTGTCTCGACGAACACGATGCGTGTTCACCAGCAACGACATCCGCAGCAGTTGTTTGCGTAGGTTGATGGTCATGTTGGTCGTGATAGGAAGCATCTCCAGCAACTTATCGATGTGCTTCACTTGCTGCCGCTTTAATCGACGGAATGTTTCTTGCTGCAGAAGCAACCCTGCAGCCTGGGTCTCCAACACCTGAGGGGTTGGAGTCACAGGCCACTCCAACTCGATCGGTTTGAGGTCACCAAACTTCTCCTTTGCGTCCTTGATTTCCTTCTTCGTAAGAGCCCGGCAACTCGGTCCATTCTGGTACACGGACGCCTGCATCGACGAGAAGACCGACGACATCGCAAAGCAAGGATCCAATCCAACAGCACGCACTCCTTCCATCACCGTCAGAGCACGGTCCTTGCGTCCAGACTCCAGCGACGTGAGCGACATGATCTCCGGCTCAACTTCAGATAGTCGCATCTCCATCAAAATGTCGAAAAACGCGTCAGAGCGCCACACAATTGAAGCGCGCAGTAGCCAGTGCATGTACGTATGCACTGAGATTTGACGGAGCAGACGAAGTTGCTTCAGTACCTTGACAGCACCATCCAAATACTCTTGACGGTAACAAATGTCGAGGAATCGGTTGTAATCCGCCCGTTCCAGCTTCATACCAGCCTTTTCCATCAAATCCCAGAGCTCAATCACTTCCACTGCAGCCGAAGCTTTGTCACATGCATCGAACAGAGTTCGCAGCGTCGACTCGTCCACTTTCCGCCCCTGACTAAGCATATCCCGAACAATATGAATACCTTCCGCTGGCTTTTTCGCTTCGCAACACGCCAATACTCCAGGAGTCAAGAAGTTTTCGTCCAGATATGGGTTGCCAAAATTACGATACAAGTCAAACAGTTTGTGTGCGTTCTCGAACGACACTCGGCGCAGCTTCGTGATCAGAGACGCAATCTCCTCCTCAGTCGGCAGAGTTTTCTGCAACGCAGCAATTTCCTGCAAAGTCATCGTGATTTTCTCCGTCTTGAAGTTCTGCAGCGGCATCGGCTCCTTGGCTGGCACCACTGCAGTCTCGGATGAAGGCTTTTCTGTTGAAGTCTCGCTCTGTTTGTCCTTCTTCGGGGTCTGAGTAGCAGCAGCTGCAGCGTCATTGACATCACTGCTGACTGCTCTGACCAACATCTCTTCCTCGATTTCCTTTTGTGTCATTGGCTTACGCGGCTTCTGCTTGGACTTCTTCTTTGACACTAATGGCTTTGGAGCCAGCGCATTTTCCGCATCTTTGACAGCAGAAGTGGAAGACGTCACTACGGCTTTCTTCGCTTTCTTGCTCTTACGACGCTTTGTTTTGAAAGCTGCGGCGTCAGTTGCTACGGCTGAAGTGGCTGCTGCGACTGCGTCCGTCGAGTTTAAGCGGAAGAAGCTCACACGAGACTGTTGCAGGCCGCAGAGTTCATTGCCAATGGGCAAAAAGGACCGTTGGACTGGGGCATGGATGGCCGACGTCAGGCCCAGACGACGCACGCCTGCGCATGCGGAGCGTGACGGCCGCAGAAGCATAACACGCAAGTCAATTTGGAGCCAACAAATTAAACACAAGCGCACTTAAAAAGACGAGTACTGTTCTACCACTACTACAGGGCCATTACTATACAGTAAAACAAATTGATACTACACTACACCTTAGCCCGCCCATAGTTGGCACATTAAACATCCAAACTTAATTTTGGTTTATTTTTTGCGACTTTTTGCCCATTGTTGGCACATTCAACATCCAAAGTCGGCAGCTTTAATTTTGGTTTATTTTTTGGTACCCGAACTAAGCAGTACCACCTGGCTAATTTATACTCAAAGTCGGCATGCTGTACTCCTCTTCTCCCTACAGATCCACCTACTCGCCCTACACCATGTCCTCGAAGCGAATTGCGGCGTTGACGAACTTCGCAGCATGCAACTCCATCTTCTGCACCATGCGCTGCGTGATCTTCGGCATGTTCACGCTGGCGGCGCGTTCGAGAATGCGCATGCGCGCCTCGGTCTTCGTGATCGGCTTGCTGTCGCTGATTAGCACGGGCTCCAGGATCGCCTCCCTAGCAAGAGCTAGGTACTGCTTGATGTGTGCCTTTAGAGAACTGAAGCAGCTCTCTATCCCTCGGTACGCAAACCAGGGTAAGCAGCGATTCCTCCTCCGGCAGTGACGACACCGCGGTCCACTCCATTGCATGTAATACGTCCCCGCGCTGCTTCACGCCGCGTTTGTCGAGTGTGGCGCCCCGACTTGAAGCGATGCGACGAACGCTTCGTCCATATCCACTGCGTCGGTGTCGAATAGAATTCAATCGTAGTCACCATGCTCACTTCAGTCGATGCGCACGTCGTCGTCGTCTTCATCAAGAGCACCGCCGTTGCTCTCACTAGTACTACAGCTTTCGCAATAAATCATGCTCTCATTTTCGGGGACAAAGTTTACGTCATTTTTATGTGTGCGCGAGAACGTGAAACGCGGCTTGTCGCTGCTGGTGTGTTATGTTGCTCAGCCTCGCTATCGACCTTAAAAGCATCAGACAATATCTGAAGGCCTGCTGCAGCATCTCGGTGCGAAGCGTCAACTTGAAGATCGGTTGATTACACGTCAAACGCCCTTGTTACAACTGTCTGTGAGAGCTCGACGTCCGACTTGCTTCTCGACCCAAAAATGCCGTTCAGGATGCCCTGAGAGAGGCTTGCACGTGTGTCGATCTGCAACGCTCGAATGGCCTCCTCAAGACTAAACACATCCTCAAAAGCCGCCACGACCTTGTTACTTCGTGCCGGACCCACAACGCTTGCCGCACACGTAGGCGGTGCCCTCTCTGCTTCCGTATTCTTAGTCGCAGCGTCGACGCCCTCCGCATTCTCGCTGTCAACCAACAAACCGGAATGTATCGCATGAGTAATAAGTGTGCGCTCACCGATCAAAATGTCGGTATCAGCTGTCGTGAATTAACTCCATCCACTAGCAAGGCCACAGGACCGCTTTTTGCTCCAGTCCACCGCTCGTAGCTGGCCCCAGAAATGACGAAAGCTTTATGACGGCGGTTTTTGTGTCTGCAACGGCCGCTGTCTTCCTCTTCTTGCTCGACCGTATGCGTGCCATCCGGCAAACTGTGAGATGAGCAGCCTTAAAGGTTTTGTCCACCCACGCCACATATCGTGGCTGATCACGGGAAGATAACCAGTGGTGCGCCCTAACCACTTTCTTGTTTAGGCTCCGCCGGAGCCAGAGATGCGTGATGTTTGTCAATCTCCAATTCTCACTTTCCTCTACCTTATGCCGAAGTCGCTGTGGGTGCTGATCTACATCGAGGCCAAGCGCTATAGGCTGCAGCAAGCTGGTAGCCGCGCGCTAGCAGTTCAAGCCAAACACCCAAACCGTCGGGGCGAGCCCCTAAAGTAAATACAACGATGTTCAAATGCAAAGCCTGGCTATCAGACTCACGGTATTCTCCATGTAATCGGACTACTTGTTGCACGGATGTTGTGTTCTCAGCAACGACGATTCGTATCGCACTGGTCCATGGTCGAAGATGGTGCACTTCCAGCGGGTACGTTCGGATAGTTCATAGTCCGAAACCGGTGCCAAGACATATTGCGTGCCGTTTACTTCGTCAACAGCGAAGCTGATCACGCGCGTGATAAACTTTGGAAGCTTCGACCTGTTGTGGCCCAGCTACAGCAGCGATTCATCGCTGGATGGACGTTCCCATCGGTCTTTTTATGCGACGAAGGCGGTGCAATTTCCACTCCCAAGCGTGACCTGCATGTTCATGCCCGACAAACCACATCGATACGGCTCGAAGTTGTTCATGGTCTGCGATTTGAGAAATGCCTATTGCCAGATTGTATGCAAAATTTCTTTTATTATGTCGTCAGCGTACCGAGCTACAGAGTATGTCGTAAGTATTCAGATTTGAGGTCTATGCTGAAAAACACGGTGCTATTAATAGCGACGGAGGTGACAGCTCTGAAGATCATAAGACAGGCGCAGCTGCGGTCATTCGAAGCTTGAATGTCGTGCTTGACGCAAAATCTTTTACAACTGGCACGTTGTCGTTGTGGACCGCTTCTACTCGTCTGTTCTTCTCACAAACTGCATGCCCCCAACGTGCTTTAGTATGAACGATGTTAAAGCAAAATTACTCACATTCGATACTCTTATGAAACTAAAACCCCTGTGTTCATCTAAAATATTCATCTCCGTAATTAGGGTGATACACGGCAAATCACCGTATATTATAAAAAAAACTCCATCCGGAATATATTTAAATGCTCCGTTAGAAGACAAGCCAAAACTCTAAGGTCAGATATGTGCTCATTTCTCGATTTACCGACTCGGGGAAATGAGCGACACTGAAATCATAACACCATCCCGAACATCAATACGTTGGGAGGGGTTTCAGCTAACCAAGTACCAGGCCTCCGATCGGAAGATGACATACCGCTGCAGCTATCGACAAGATTGTAAAGCCAGTTGGACGTAATGAGGAGCGGACGTGAAGGCAAAATCATCAAAATCTCGTATGACGACGAAGATGGAGGCGAGGCTTCGAGACTTGTCGTCCGAAACGTCTGCCGCAAAATGGCTTAGGAGACAGATACACGGGATTTGCAACAGATTAGTGGGCTACCGCCACAGATTTGGGAGTAGCTCGAGCGCGGGTTCCGCTTGAGCATAATGATGCGCGTTATGTCACGTGACAAAGGTTTCCTTCGCGCGCTCCGCGTCCCAAGAGAGCGCTCACTATGGTCATGTCGACGTTTCCTTCTATCTCAGGCTTGTGGTGGATCTAACTTGCCCGAGCTCAAGCTCACCTACGCTGGAGATGACCAAGAGGAACGAATTAGTGGCAGAGGACATCTGACTCTTATTAGTCTGTTGTCGTATGTGAACACTTCACTTCTCTTGGACGTAGCGTTTTTATGCACCATGATTGTTTTACCCAGTGCGTCATCGTTTTGGCTTGCGACCGGATTTGCCGCTGCTACGTTCTGCGCATGTAGATACTGAGCACCAGCAAGTCTAAGTGAAGCTTTTGTCATATTCTTCAGTGTGCTAACGTGTCAATTGAACGTCTATGGAGCCGATTATTAATATCCGCATCTTTTGGGAAAATGCTTTACAACGCAATTAGTGACCAATATCTTGACAGCAGATGGTACGCTGTCGGTTCATTTAAGTAATCCATTTGTCAGCCAATGCTGAAGTTTCTCATTCACAATTAGTGAAATCACAGCTGCAATGAACCGAGGTGTTGACAATCCAACCTCACGACCAGATTTACCCGCAAGGCATTGACCACGTCACAGACCACCTTAAGGCTGATCTCGACTAGCAATAGTACGCGTACAGTCAAGAGGGAGCTGTTTTGGCAGTACTTCCGTCGTATGTGGGTCCAAGCGCTCCCACCTGATTTCTGGAATATGCTTGGGATCAGCCGGTATTTTGAAAAAGACGCTGGAGCGTTACAACCGCGAGCTAAACAACGCTTTTGTCACACGGAGACCTGATTTTGGTTTGGATTTGCAAACCTAGGCCGATGATTTTTAAATGACACGCTCACCATTTCGTGGCTTTGCTGGAGGGTATTGCTCGAGGCCTAGCGCGTGCACCACCACATGACACATAATTTCTCCGCCTGAGATAGCGCTGTAACACTTGCCAACTGGTGCGTCCAAATAGAAACAAGACAGTGCTTTTGAAATGTTTTCATACTTACATATGTCGAGTTAGTGCAGCACCGAGAATTAGATAAATGCCTTGGGTTTTCACCACCGGGGTCTAACAGAAAAGTCCCATAAGAATCAAGTTAAATACGGTAAGTCAGCTAGCTTAATATTAAATTAGAAATACCAGGGGGCTAATTCACGACAAAATGAGCTTACCAGTTAGGCGCCAGCAACCGCCTTTTAAACAGCTCTCGGTATCAGACGGATTTTGTATGATCCAGTGCTTTCGATAATATAGATTAACGTGTCTTCTCGCTGATTTGCTAAGCCCGATATGCGAAACTCCAACCCTTACGTCGACTAATTGAAATGTTTAGGCAGCGCCCATTGATGTTGATGAAGTATGTATTTGATTGTGGAAGCGTGCAGAGAGGGGATGGACGGTTGTTCGCGTCTGAGGCGAGCGAAACATTTGAAAAAAAAGAGCTGTGATTCTGGCTACA